GCATTTCCTTGTATTGATTCATTTTTTTTCTTTTTTTAAAATTTTTTATTTTGTATGTGTGAGTGTTATCCCTGCCTACCTGTGTGTTAAGTGCACCCATGTCATGCAGTGCCCATGGAGTACAGAAGAGGACATCAGATCCCCTGGAACTGGAATTACAGATGGTTAGTAGTCACCATGTGGGTGCTGAGATTTAAACCCGGGTCTTCTGCAAGAATAGCCAGTGCTCTTAACCACTGAGCCATGTCTCCAGCCACAAAGCTCTTCCTTTTCATGTTTTAAAATCATATGGCATATTTTTCTGGATTGCACAGCCTTCATGTATATTATTTCACTTTGATGTACCAATGTGCCTCCATCCGTAGATTCGTCCATCTCTTTTCCTTTTGTACATGGCTCTCATTCTTTTCTCTCCCTTCATCTCCTTTCACCTCTACCAGGGCCCTAATAAGTTGTATCTCAACTTAGTTTCTGTTTTCTTTATAATCATGCGCACATATGAACATAAACATATGCTTAACAAACACCTATAGGTGTTGCTTTTTGTCTTACTAAAGTAGAAATATTTAAAATTCCTTTTTCAATTTTCTCTATTAAATGGTTGCATATGATTCCACAGTGCATATGAGTCATGGCTTAATCATTTCCTGCGGATGGACATACTTTGTTCCCAGGTCTTTATTAGTATGACCAATGCAGCAGTTAACATCCATATATATTTTTCACATAGATTAATATTCATAAGAACTATGGAAATGTTTACTATTAATAACAATATCCATATTTTATGTAATTACATGTATTTTATTTGCAATGTTATATATATTTTTATTTTTAATAACTCATATCATCCTGTTTTCTAAATAAAACAATATTTGTTTGATTTTTTTTTTCAAGATATGGTTTTACTCTGAAGTCCTGACTGGCCTGGAACTCCTTATATAGACTGGGCTGGCCTTGAATGTGCAAAGGTGCACCTGCTTCTGCCTCCCAAGTGCTGGGATTAAATCTGTGTACCACTATGCCTGTTACTTGAGTGATAATTCATACTACAGCATCCTCCCACCTTCATCACTTGCCTTTATATGTATTTATATAGGTAGCAAAGTGTAGCTGGTTATAGATGTGCATAATATTAAATTCATTTATTTATTTATTTTTGAACCTTTTTTGAGATAAAGCCTCCCTGTAGCCCTAGCTGATCTGGAACTCCCTATGTAGACCAGGCTGGCCTCCGTCTTACAATGATCCACCTGCCTCTACCTCCCGAGTACTGAGATTAAAGGTGTGTACCACCACCCCTGGTGTTTTGAATTTTATTCTACTTTAGTTTTCATTCATTCATTCATTTATTTAGTGTGTGTGTATATTTAAGTGTGTGTGCACATGTTAATGGCACATGTGTGGAAACCAGAGGACAATTTGCTGGGCTCAGTTTTCTCCTCCCAGCCTGTGGGTCTTGGGGATGCAATTCAGGATGTCAGGCTTGGTGGCAAGCACCTACCACTGAGCAATTTGTCGGTCTAATGTTGAATTTAAATGCTCTTCACTTCATGGTGTTTCCATTTTATCGAGTTTCCTAGTGTTCCACCATCAGAATTTGACTATTTTTACATATCACCAGTAAAAAATAAAGTGAATTCTGGGTCACTGTAAGGAGTGTAAGAAAGATAACAGAAAAACAACAGAAAAACAAACAAAAGGACAAAAGCAAACAAAAACAGCCCTCCTTCCAAATTCTTGGCAAATATTATCTTTGAGAGAGGAGGCAGATGGGGTGGGAGACTCCCAATATTTGTGTCGCCCTGTCAGCAGAATCCGATAGGGTCCATTTTTCTGCAACGTTAACTTCACAGGCTCAGTCAGGGCTAAGGGACATTTTCTGGATATTTTCCCTCTTTTTCTTTTTCTCTTTTTTTGAACAATCTTTCTTTTTATAAAATGGAATGGCGAGGGGGAGAGGGAAGGGACCTTGCCAGATGAATGTCAATCAATCCTTCATTCTTTTTCTCTTGATCTCAATTTTCTTCCTACCTCAACCTTCTGAGTAGCTAGGTCTACAGACATGTGCCATCTTCTGCCGCTTGATTTGTTTGGTTTGAACATCTCTAGATGTCCAACAAACATCAAAGTGCAGTTTCCCTTGTTGCTGCTTCCGAAGTGCCATTTTAGGTTCACAGAAAATGGCAGGATTCAAAATGGGCAGTTTCAGGAAGGCGTCAGAGAAGAAGGTAGGAGTGATGTGGAGAAGGAATGAAACGGCCAGTCTTGGGAGTTAAAAAGAAAACAGTTTAATCATGGAAGAAGAGACATATATAGGGTAGCCTGCACAGGCAGAGTTTCTGTGGAAGCACATTCCAGGAAAATCTTAAGTGATTACTTTAATAATAAACCATGCATTCTTCGGCAAGCTGTCACGGGATTAACTACCCCTTTCTAGACTGGGAGCACAGTTCAGATTCATTCTCTCTCTCTCTCTCTCTCTCTCTCTCTCTCTCTCTCCCCCCCCATCTCTTTTCCCTCTCTGGCAGGTTTTGTACAAATAACAATTGTTATGTGGGGATCATAGTTTTTAAAACATTACATTTTTTTCATTTTAATTTTCTAAACATAAATTTTGATGGTAAAAATATGACCATGTTTTCTGCAGCTGAACGTCTGGGTGGGCTTTGGTGTAATTCTCCAGAAACACGGATGCTCATTTTAGACCTACTAAATACTGAGCAACTTAGATATGACAGGAAACAGCATCTGCTGGGATAAGAAAGAGTTAAATTTATTTTCATTCCTCCCCTCCCCTACATAATGTGAGCAGGACATTGAATTACTGCCAGGAGCAATATCAGCACCCTAGAGATATAAAAATATACTTCAAACCAGAATTCTCCTCTGTTGACTCTTTAGATTTCTGTGTAAAACAAGAGGTGTCCGTTTCAGGCTACGTGTATGAGCCCACTGCTCACAAAGAGCTATTTGCACTCAAATCTTCAGATTGCAGTTTACAGCAGACAAAATCATTTCCTTTCTCTGTCATCTTGGGCAAATGCTTTCCATTTGGTGCTAGGAAACATAAGTTAGCATTTCTTGGTAAGAGTCTTTGAATTGTTTTTTATAAAAAAAAACAAGTTTAGGTGGGCAGTTTTTGGTAGTTTTTTTTCGTTGTTGTTGTTGTTGGTGGTGGTGGTGGTGGTGGTTGTTTGTTTGTTTGTTTTGAGACAGGGTCTCCCCATAGCCCCAGCTGACCTGGAACTCACTATGTAGACAAGGCTGGCCAAAATCTCACCCACTTGCCTCTGCCTCCTGAGTGCTGGTATTAAAAGCCAGTGCGACAAGGCCAGGCAGACATTTTTGAGTTGAGAAAATAATACATGTTTCTTTGAGACTTGTTTCTTTTGTATTGTCAAAGAACCCATTTGCCTGAATCAACTGTCATGTTTTTCCAATTTATTTAGTCAGTTGAAGTGAACCCATTAGTGTAGACTTCTGGAGCTTAGAATTAAAGCACTGTGTCCTCAAAGGTGGCAGAATTTAAGTTCTCACCTAAATATGCCTTCATAGAACAAAAATTTACATACCTCTTGTCATTCACAGGAAGTCATTTTTTTTTTTCAATCACAGCAGATTATCTCAGAGGACTATTGCAAGCTGTCAGCACCACCCCCTCTACTCCGCACACCCAGGTGTGGAGGGAATGCCAAGGTCAGGGGAGCAGCATTCCTGGCCAGCTGTGCTGTTCGGGGTCCCTTGCTCTGCCTGCACACAGGCTGTTCCTAGCCTGACCTACTTGCAAGCAGAGACTGCCACTCACATTGTGCTACCCCAAATTACACAGTGGCTTTGCAGCTGGGCTAGGCATGGACCACAAAATACATCCTTGGTGTGCCATAAGCCCGATTTGAACCCTCAGTTTCCAGCAATAAAATGCAAATCCATTGTGCTGCTAACTCAAGAAAATCAATAATCCCCAACCATCCAAGTCACGATTTGTCATTTTCATAGTTGGTACCTTCTGCTTCTACCAGAAAGAAGAGGGAAGAGGGGGAAGAGGGAGCAGGAGGAAGAGGGAAGAGAAAGAGGAAGGAGGAGCAAAAGACAAAAAGGTAGAAGAGGAGGAACAAGAGGGTGGAGGAAGGGAAAGGAGGCAATGACAGAAGAAAGCAGGGGGAGACTTCACAAGAATGATTTCAGATCTCTTAAAAAGCACCAGGGTTTCTGTGGCTGTTCCTGATTTTAAAACATGGAGAAAATGAATTTCTAGCTTCTAAATGTTTGCAAAGGTATGCCATGCGGGACTTTTCTTTCTACTACTGAGCATTGATACAGACGGCTTGAAACACTTTTTTCTCCTAGCTCAGGGTTTTCATGAAGGGTTAAAAAACTCTGTAGTAATTAATGCAGATAAAGTCAGGTTAGGCATCTCTCACATGGCTGCATATACCCTGTGAGGAAACCCAGCACACAACTTTTGTTTATATCAGAAATGCATATCATTTACTTAGGTTATATAGAAGCTAACATATTTTGTTTAGATCAGCTTCATAGAATATTGTTTTACATCTGTAGGCATAGAATCACATTTCATATACAAATAAATCTTTTTATATATACACACATAGCTTTCCTCCTGATTAAGCGTATGTAATGAAAGACACTGATTTCTTTAAAGATGGCAAACCAATCGCATGCTCAACTTTAGAAAGGGCAGATGCATCCAGGAAAAGTCAGGACTGACATCCCTTTGTTCAAAGGGCCCCAGCCGGTTGCGATGAGTTCGCGTGCCACATCACTTGAAGTGGCAATCCAGGGAACAGATTTGTGAAACGCAGCTCGGTGGATCCCACCCCTTTCCTGTAGCGCTTCCCTTTCCTGTCCTGATGTGCACCCTCCCCGGGCCCCGCGTCCTGGGGCTTCGGGCTTGGCGGGATCCCTTGTCCTTCGGATCTCCGCGATCGCCCCCAGCTGGCGGGGCACGCCGGGCGCAGAAGCCGGGACTCCAGCACGAGTTAATAAACAGTTAAGTTTGGAAGACTCGGCAGACACGTTGAGGGGGAGTTACCAAGCCCAGGCAGCGAAAACATCCCGGCACATTCCTGGGGAGTCCTCAGCTGCCAGCATCTGATTAGAACCATATCTTTCGCCGGGAGTGGCCGCGCTGCGAGGCTCCGGCCGCCGGCTATTTAAGCGGGACCCACGGTGCCCCTGCGCTGTCGCCTGGAGACTCCGGGCGCGGGGACGTCATGCTAGCTTCGCAGAGGCGCTAGCCAGCCGGTGAGTAGCTTTGCCAGCTTTCTTCCCTGTGGCTCCATCTTTGGGGGGCGACCTCCTTCCCTCCTTTGCTCGCTCCCCTCTTCCCACCCCGGCCTGGCGTGCGGACCTGGGGGCTGCGGGGAATCTTACAAATGAGACAGTGTACTCGGGGAAACAAGCGGTTTTGTGGCCTGACATCTGTGTAATGCTTCCAAGGAATGCGTTTTACCTTTGGGGGTCTCACTCCTGTGGCACTTGAGCATCTCAGTGTGTGTGTGTGTGTGTGTGTGTGTGTGTGTGTGTGTGTGTACAAGCACGCCCTCGTGTATCTAAGAGCTTTGGGGTGGGGTGAGGGGGCAGCCCAGGGAGGACGCTAGTGTGGCTGCTGACCACCTAATTTAACTCTTGAAAGGTGTTTATTTTTGCTGCGTGACAAAGGCTGGGTGCCTGGTTTGAGCCTTTGAGGAGGGTCTCCCCCCCCCCCCCCCGTGACTGACAGCATAATGCATTAAAAATGTGAACTTTGTCTTACACCAGCATTCCTAAGACAGTATCTGTCCAGGCTACTTAACAAACTTGTTTTAAATCCCCGGAGTGTTTGAATGGTGTTTTCTTGACTGCTGTAAACTAGTTGGAAGGATTAAGTAAGAATTTGAGAAAGGGGACGAAAAATGAATATGTTAAAACCTTGGAGCCCCAGTCAACATAGCGGTTTTTTCCGCAGCATAGAGCTGACTCTGTTATTTGTTCCTGCCCTCTTTCCTTCTGGACTAAATTCCAAGAGCCTGGAATTCAGGTCCGCAGTCAGTTTCAGCAGGGAGCTGCTGAGTCCAAAGGGAAGTTTAACTGGATTAAAAACACTTAAAGAATCTGGATGTTATCTCCACCCTAGGCACCCCCCTTCCCCTTTCTTCTTAGTGTTTAGAAGGAAGGGAGCCACTGTAAAACGAGAAGAGCAGAAACGAACCTCCAGACACATGGAAAGACTTAAAAATTATGGAGGGGCGACTTCATGAATAGTAAATGTTACTGTTGCTCTATAAAGTGACTTAATGAAAAAATTTCGGGCCCTAATCAGGACGAACAGGAGAGTGCAGGGGGGGAGGGGTACGGTACAACTCCCACTTAAGTAAAGGCAGAAGAAAGCCGGCAGCTGCTACGCTTTTGAGACGCCTGACAAGGCTCTTGGAACGGCTTTGATGGGTGTATAATGGATCTTTCTTAAAATTTTGAGGTCGGCTCCCCATACAGAAGTATGCACTGGCTTTTGGGGACGGAAGAACTAGCTGGGATGGGGGACTCTCAGGGCTAACAAATGGCTCGTTCCTGTTCCCTTTCTTGCTCCTGACTAGACAGATTGTCCTCTAGCCAGGTGCCCTGCCCACCCCAATCTCTACGTCTCCACTCCCTGGCTAGAGAATTCAGGAGTACTGGGGATTTGGGCTTGCATTAGTCTTTGAGGAAAAGGTCTTTAGTGCTGGAAAAAGTAATGCCTCGAGCAAGGCAATTTTGAGCTTGAGATGCAGCAAGTCTCCGTGGTAAAGCAGAAAGACGCTTAGTGGTCTCTTCCAAAGTGTGTTTCAGAGACAAATCACTTCCTTCTAATGCCCACCCGGGGACCTGTTTTTACTGAATACCAAACCTTCCTTCTCCCAGCCCTATCCCTTTTTGTCCAACCATTATCCTGGACATTGTTGTTGGATGGTCTCCCCATGTACCTCAGTCTAGGCTCAAACTCACCATCTTCCTGCCTCTGCCTCCTGAGTGCTGGGATTATAGGTGTGGGACACCACACCTGGCTGAACTATGTTATTTTAATGTATGGCCAGAAGAGCTAGATTGTAGAGGAATGGGAAGAATGTCTTCCGCCTTTGCCCTGTAGCGCAGATATATTTAGGGAGTTTGTGATGCTAACACCACACAGTTCGTCTGCACTGGAGAATGCAAGGGAGGTTGGCAAGACAACACAGTATTGGTTTTAACAAGTGCTTTTAAGCTTTGCTGATTTGGGAAGGACAAAATCTAGAGGTTGGTTGCTTGATTTCTTATTGTTTTGAGACATGATATCACAGTATGTGCCACTCCGAGCTGGTCTTAAACTTCTGCCTTAATCTTCTGAATCCTGGGGTTGTGGGCATGCACTACCACACCCAGCTCAGAGTTGGTATTTCTACCAAATGCTATGATTTTTAGAATTAAATGAAATGTCTAAATTTGTGTGTACTAGACCTATTTATCTTGCTCCAAAGGTTAAATGGATTTTAGTTGGCTTGTTCGGGTTGAGATACTGATTGGTGGTGCTGGAGAGATGGCTCAGTGGTTAAGAGCACTGGGGGGAAAGTTCTTGCAGATGACCTAGCTTTGGTTCCTAGTACCTGTATATTTGTAACTCCAGTTCCAGGGGATCAAACACCCTTTTCTGGCCTCCAAGGGTTTGCACGCATGGATGCACTTACATACATGCAGGCAAAACACTAATACACATAAAATTTTAAAGTTTAAAAAAAGATACTGGTTGGCATTAGCATGATGATGGTACTAGGAACTCTGGAAGCTGCTGACCAGCTAGTTTGGTCCAATAGCCATGGCTTAATTACCTGAAAATTAAAAGCCTGGCAAGGCAGGACCTGCTGAGTAGTTGTGCCCAGCAGGGAGCTTCTGGGAAAGTGTGCTCCTGGTGGTGCAATGAGGAAGTGGCTTCATTTCTTTCCTATCCTAAGCCTCAGCTTGCTAGTACAACTTTGATTTGGCTGGTTTGGGTGTGCCATGTGTTTCTTTGCCTCATTCTCTGTACTTGGGGATTAATTATTTTCTTGAAGAAAAAGCTAAGATGCTAAAATGCCCGAGAAGGCAGTTCTTAAGGGGTTTTGGTTCCTAATGCTCATCAAAACTCAGGCCCCATCTGGTAGATTTGCAAGGTGACTGACCCGGGAAGTTAGGTCACTGACCCACCCACCACCTAAGGTTTCCTGCCCTAGACAGAGCTACGCTGGGAACGACATTGGCAATATGAAACACCCTAGTAACAGAATGTGCTATTTTTCTATTATCTCTGGAGCTGGATTTGTAAAGCTGAGGCAGCAGTACTACTGACTTGCGCCATTCTGCCAAAGTTTCATTTAGATGACACAGTTTTAACATCAGATAAGTGTGTTTAAGGGAAACCTAAATCATGGGAAGCTATCCTAACAGATTAATCATATGACGCCAAAGGAAAGCAGGCTGCCGGGTCTCTTATTGCAGACAGAGTCCAGACAAATTCCTGATGAGGGACACAAATGATGCTGGGCATCACAAAGGGCTCCATAAGTTAGCTGTCCTCCTCCCTCTGCTGACCTGGCACAAATGGGTAGTGGTTGAAGGCAATTACCCAGCTTCTAGCAAGATGACCTTGTCCCATTGCTTAACTGCTCGGGACTTCTGTTTTCTTACCTGGGGAAGAACAATAGTACCTACCATGGTGTTTTGGGGAAGATAAATTAATCTATATTTGTGCAATACTTTGTTCCATCTGATTGCAGACATTTGTCTCCCTGTTCCTTGTCCTCTGAACAATTGTGAATACTGAAAGCAAAGGGAGAATTTCTTAATCAAAACTGAATACTACCTGCCTATCTGAAAAATGTTAATCATTCAAGTACTCAATACTAACAAAGCCTGTGTGTTTGTGTTCACGCTAGAATGGACAGGGGGTTACTCTCTGTTCTCAACCTGGAAGCCTGATGTTTGGTTTGGTCAAAATGACCTCTGGTCTCATTTAAATCTTCCCCACACACTCCTTCAGACTCCCTGCAGAGAATGGCTTATCCTTCTCCTGAAGTCAGCACTCTAGCCAAGGAAGTGGGAAGGGAGGGACCACCCTGACTAAACTAAGTGACTAGGCCAGGACATTGGGGCCCCCATACTGTCATTGCCCACATAGCTGGGCAGGTTGCCATAGTTACTCCCCTTCCCGCTTCCTTCCACTACCCTGGAAGGAAGCCTGCTTCTCCAGGGCAAGCAGAATCTGAACAAATTGCTTCCTGGCCTAAAACTGGAAGTTACTTAGTGAAGTAAAATCCTTCTTTGCTTCCATTGCCTTTCCCCACCCCTCAAATTTTTATTTATTTATTTATTTGTTTATTTATTTATTTACTTATTTATTTATTTATTTATTTATTTATTTATTTATTTATTTATTTATTTATTTATTTTGAGACAGGGTCTCTCTGTAGTCCCAGCTGGCCTGGAACTTGCTATGTAGATCAGGCTGGCCTTGAACTCACAGAGATCCACCTGCCTCTGCCCCCCGAATGCTGGGATCAAAGGTGTGCGCCACCATGGCCGGCTCCCCTCAAACTTATTTTAATCCCAGTACCAGTACTTACTTTTCTAATCTTTCTTAGCTCTTACCTTATCTAGATGGGAAAACATAAAGGCTTGCTTTTTTTTTGCTTTTTTTTTTTCATCTTTTTGAGACAGGGTCTCCTTGTAGCCACAGCTGGCCTGGAACTCTCTATGGAGTCAAGATTGGCCTCGATCTCACAGAGATCCACCTACCTCTGCCTCCCAAGTACTAGGATTAAAGATGTGTGCTACCACCATGCCCTGCAAGACTTACAAAATTTTAGTTATTACCCATAAAACTGTAGTTACTACCTTAATACTGACGTGGCTTGGCAATTTCTGTCTCTTGTCATAACTTACACAAAGTAGCTGGGGGCAAGTGACCTTTAACTGATATAAGCTGGTATGAATTCTGAGTAATGGAACAAGCCAAGTTAAGTTCTAGGGAAGTTACCAGGAAGCAGAAGGTATGATGAATGTCTCTTAGATTTTCATGAAATCAGAGTAAAAGGGGAGGATAAGATAGGAAGTAAGAATTCTAGAAAGTTGGGTCTCCATTACAGTTCAAGGGATGAGTGTATAATGCATGGGTAGAGTACCTGCCTACATACATAAGGCCCTGAGTTCAGTCCCCAACACTACAGAAAGACAATTGAAAAGTACTATTAACCTGGGAGAAATTTGGGTGATAGATA